TAAATTCTTGAATCGCCTGGTCCTCCGGACAAAAATAGTCCTAATAGCTCCAGCATCCTCTGTGCTTTGTTCTAATCATTTGCTGAGTCATTTTCTGCCTTATTTCTCCCGGCTTCCTCTCAGCTTATGACCTCATCCCCTACCTTGCAGTAAAAATAGAAGATCAACAAGAATTCCCTCCACCATGCACCTGGAAACTCCCTCATTTTGCAGTAGTGCTACAGCCAGGTTTCCTCTGCTGTCTGGTCTTCTCCATGCCTCCCTATGTTTTTCATGTTTGCAAATGAACAGCATTTGTCATAATGAACAAGTGTGCAAACTGTTCACTACCACAGCCGCATCCAGCTGTGAAAGAAATCTGCTTAGAGTTGCAAATGTAATAGTTTTAAATCTCCAGCATAAAAATACTAAAGCTAATAATTTAGTGAATTGAACAGTTTGAAAACTTAAGTGAGTTCCTAGCAGTACAACATTTGATAGAATAATTGACAAGGAATGAATGACTCACCACAGCATTAAAGCAGTGTGGTGCTTAATGCCTTCCCTGACTTTTTAATCCCAGCCATGTAGATGCTTAATTCTTTAAGCACAAAAACAGAACTTTTGGGCTGGTGAGATGGCTCAGTGGTCTAAAGCACCTACTTAGAACAAGCTTAGCAAAGCACAGGGACCGCGGTTCAATCCCCCAGCACCACATGCCAGCCAGCCCCGCCCCCTGGTGGGCTGAGCTGGCCACACACACACACACACACACACACACACAAATAAATATTAAAAAAAAACAAAAAACAGAACTTTTCACTTGAAGAGGCTGTGTTCGTCTCAGACGTATAACACATAACTGAAGGAGCCTTAATCGTACTGTGCAACGGTGATGGCCCTAGTAGCTGTCCAGTTCGCCCTCCTGTTCTTTGCTCCCATGCTGTTCCTGAGGAGCACTTCCTAAGGCACAAAGGAATGATGTGATGCTGCTTCGAGTCCACGCGTGTGTTCCACGCTGTGGGCCTTCGTGCCGTGCTTTGTGGGTTTCCGGTTTCACCCTTCCCCTGTCTTTCCTTTTGCGCGCATGGTGCACTCACCACAAACAGCTTGCCTCCTGGGTGGAAAGGGTTCCTTTCTTCTAAGCCTTCGTTGTTTGGCACCTGTGGTTCGTTCTGCTTAACTTTAATTTTTAATCACTTTGCCCTACTGCTGCTGCTTTTCTGTACTTTGAGATTAAGTGCCAACGTTGATGCTTCTATAAAATGTCCTTCTCTTGCCCGTTTGGGCAGGTCTGTGCCGCCTCCGTGCTGACCCTGCACAGGCTAAGCTGCACTTGTCTCCTTGGTCAGTGTCGCTGTCTCCCACCAGTCTCATGGCTAGCGCTCAATGGACTGCACAGATCCTTTCCATCCACGGGGTTTACCAGCTGCCAGAACAGCTTAGCTGCCCTGGGGACACTTTCTGCTTTTGGATAAAGAAAGCTCCTTTTCATCAGGAGCTTCTAGAAAACGTCTGTATTGTGCTACTTCCCTGGTAGCCAGAATCGTCTCCAAATACTTGCCTGTTTGTCGTCAGAAGGCTTTTCCCTCCTTGCACTGGCCATTGAAGCTCATAGCCAAGCACCAGCTTCCTGGTAGCTGTTGTGAGAACACTCGATTTTTCTTTTTTTTTCAGTAATAAGGCATGAACTCAGGACCCTGTGCTTGCCAGGGAGGCACTTATTCTACTGAGTTGTCTCCCCAGCCCCCAACACTTGATTTTTGTGTTCTACTTTTATTCATTTTCTTCTTCCACTTACCCCATTTAATGAATATTCATTTTTATTTTGTTTCCAAAATACAGAATATATTTCTATACGACACATATTCTGTTCTTCCACTGTGATTTAAAAAAAAATAAAAATATAAGTGCCTATATATAAATTATGTAACTTTTATTCCTACTTGGATAGTTCTCAGTTTTCCTAAAGCAAATAAATTGTAGTCTGATGTTTAACAGATGAGTTTTCAAAGAGTATATGTATAATGATCAAATCCAAGTAATTAGCATTTACATCTTTTAAAGCATGCTATATATTGAATTATTTTACTATGTCTCCTAAGTATATAAGTTTACTGTGTATCAGATTTTTTAACTTGGACGATAATGTGATTGCTTTCAACCAGCCGTCTGAGCTTTATCCTTGCACACTGAGGCTTCCAGTAGTCTCCGTCTGGTGGAGTTGCCTTAGAAATCCAGGGTGGAAGCCTGCACAGCTATTACTGCACGACAGTGATTAATAATATCAGCTAGCTTTTATGGCATTCTTGATGGCTCAGACATTGTGTTAGAATGTGTGCACATATTCTAAAAGTGTATGCTTTCCCTTCCTTTTAAAATACCCCTAAGGATTTACATTTTAAAAGTATAAACGCTAGGGCTGGCCAAATAGCTCAGTGGACTAAAGCGCCTGCTTAGTCAGACGCAGGGATCGGGGTTTGATCCCTGGTGTGCATACCCTCACCCCCGGGTATGCAGACAGGGCAGTTGAGACTGGGCGTGGTGGTGCGCGCTTGTAATCCCAGTGCTTGGGAGGTGGAAAACAGGAGAATCACTACGAGTCCAATCTACGTAGTGAGACACGTACACCCTGTACCCTGTAGACCCTGTAATGTGTATATATATATATAATATATATATATATATTATATATATATATAAATTCTGATAATCAGAAATATGCCTAAAATTATTGATAGTAAATTATAGACTCTTAACTGCTGCTAAATACTTTCTCTTTTCTCTAGACTACCTTTCTCTTCTGGGAGGGCCCTCATATATACTCTGAAATCATTAAGTGATTTCCATTGATCATATTGATGTTCCAAGATGTTGTTTCCAGGCTCATTTAAGTATTAATTAAATAGCAATAAATCCTTTGTTATTGTGTACTTAATCCTGGGAATTTAGGATCAGTTATGGGGCAGGATTTGCACTTTTACAGACTTAAATATCATGTGTGTATAGTTCTCAGTTTGAAATCTACCTCTCCCCTAAAAACTAGAGGATAGTTTTTATTTTTATTGGGTTAGTATTGTCTTATAAGTGTAAAAATTCTTCACATATTCTGTATGCTAGGTCATTATTAGCTTTGTGATTTGCAAATATTTTGTACCATGTAATAAATTTTCTTTTCACTGCCTTAACTGTTATCCCCTGATTACAAAAGTTCTTAATTTTTTTAGAAGTCCATTGTGTTTGTGTGTGTGCATGTGTGTGTGTGTGTGTGTGTGTGTGTGTGTGTGTTTGCCATTACTGCTTTTTCTAAGGTCACAAAGATTTATACTTTTTTCTAAAGGTAAAAGCTCCTTTTAATGTTTTTTATAAAGTATATCTTTTACTATTGATAAATTATTTCAGATTTTGTACAGCCCATAAACATATGGATATAGATACAGATCCCAGAGCTTCATGGACACGCTAAGTGCGCACTCTTTGTTTTCTCTGCTCCTTTCCTGGGTATTTCATGCATTGGTTTGTGCATTCTGTGGTGTCTCACAGGTCTCTGATCCTCCATTCTTTTTCTTTCACTTGTTTCCTTCCTCTAGTAATTTTTTTATTGTCGTTAGAAAATTTTGCCAGCAAAAATTGCTGTGTTTAGCTTTTATTTATATGTATACCCATATTGTCTGTTTGTTGAAGCATTATTTTCATATTTTTCTTTAGTTTTCATAAAAGATGTCCTTCAGTTCCTTGGCTGTATTTAAGGCAGCTACCTTAAGTTTTTTGACTAATAAGTTCAGTGGCTCAGCTTCATCAGCAACAATTTTTATTGTTTGCTTTTTTTCATCATATAGATACATATTTTCGTATCTATTCATGTCTCATTTTTTGTTTAAAACTGGACATTGTACATAATCTCTCAACACTGGAAATCAAATTCCAGTTTTTGTTTAAAATGAGACATTTTATATAGTTAATCATGTCTGGATGTCAGGTCCGTGGGCTTGTTATTTTCTCTGCTCTTTGTTTGACTTTCCTGACCAATTCTGTGACGTCTGTCTGCACCATGTGTTGCCGCTGATCTTTCCTCTGCATTAGCTTATTGTTCAGCTCCTTATTAGACAGAGAGATCATTAAATGCCTAGAAACTTCCTGACCTCTGCCAAGGTCCCCTGGGTTTTATTGGCACTCCTGTCCAACTCTTACCCAGTCACTTTACAACCAGCTGAGCCTTAATTTCTCATTTCCTGCTTGAGCTCAGTCTTCAGCAGGAGGCCAGAGCTCTGGGTCTCCTAGGGTCCTTGCTGGTGTGAACGTAGCCCTCTGCATGGGCATGAACTTGTAAATTCCCAGGATTATTTCAGAATTCTTAAAAAACTGTATGGACATTTTATTCCATCATTTTCACTTATGCTTTTTGATTTGCCTATTATTTATTTCCCTAGTTCTTCTCCACTGACCTGGACAGTTGAAATCTTAAGCAGCTGCCTCTAATTATTAATTTTCTTCGGATTCCCCTTGAGGATAGGTTTGACACAGGAACTGCTCTAAGTCAAATCAACTAAAGACAGTTCTCTGGGCCCGGGTCCTTGGAAGAGCCCCAGCCCTGTTCTTCTCCTCCATTGGCCCTCACATTGCTGCCAGAGATGCCCCTTGGTTTCTCAGGCCCCTGCAGAGTTGGGTGGAAGATGGAAACAAGTTAAAACATTGCGAAGCCCACGTTCCTACCAGGATTCAGCCATAGTTCAAAAAGTAAATGCTACCTAGATCTCTACATTTCTTTGCTCGCTTTCCAGTGTCCTGAAAATAGTGCTCCTGACTTTTTTTTTTTCAAAATATCTTTGCTTTTGCACAGAGAATGTTGGGAGGTTCTTCCTCTTCCATTTGCCTTGAAGTCTCACCTATGCATTTTCCATTGCGCTGTAATTAGGCATATAATGTCATGTTAGCTTTGTAATGGAAATGCACTAAAAACAGGATGCTGCTTTCTTTCCAGAAAGTTCTCTGACTGTCTTTGTATTTCTGTCACATTTTAGGACTATGATGATGGATATGGCACTGCTTATGATGAACAGAGTTACGATTCTTATGATAACAGCTACAGCACCCCAGCCCAAAGGTAAGAGTGAGTCCTCAGGACGGTCCCATAGAAACACATGTGCCCTTCGATGTGTGTGTGTTGTGGGAAGCGTGGCGTTCGGCCGTGAGGGGAATCCAACGTGCCTTGTTCTGTTTTTCATCTTCTAATTCAAGAAACAAAATCTACTCCACTATTAAGCATGTATTACCCCCTTCAGATTCACTGTGGGACTAAAGCATTCAGGCTTAGGAAATAAACACTGAACTTTATTCACTCGAAAGTCTGGCTTAAGTGTTCAGTATAATCTGAGGAGAAATAATTGCCCCAAAGGGTGCAATCGTGAAGTCCTAAGGCCAAATACCACTTGAGCAAATTGAGAATGACCTGCCTTGGTTTCCTGGAAGTGATGCTCCGTTTTCTAACAACTCTTACTCCGCCTGTGAGTAATGAGTTAGTTCTGACTCATTTTCTAAAGTATTTACTCAGAAATAAATATTGTCAGAGGCAAAAAGGAACTGACTGGTTGCCTTTTCTGATAATATCCCTGGATGTTCACTGGTGTGTAAAATCAGTTTTTATTCATTCAGAATGTTTTCCTACATGCCTTAAAAACTTTTGCTTTAAGATATTATGTCTGAAAGAAGAGAACAAAGGCAAACATAAAACAAATAATGGCTTTAAACTGATTATGAAGCATAAACAAATGTGTGAACAATGTGGGCATTTAATGAAGCATCCACTTTTGAACTTAAGCAGTAGTGTTCAACTGTTGAGCACACAAGCCTTCATTCATTAATTCTGTTACTGGAATAGCAGATTTTTAAAATTGTGGTTTAGGTTTAGGGCCGATTGTCTCCTCTGTAAGTTGAACAATTAAGCAACTTTCAAACTCTGGCTGGAAACGGATATTGTGGCTGGCAGCTTGGCGCAGCACACTGGTGGTGTTTAGCGTGTGGCAATAGGAGCGCCCGCTGCTAGCAGGGCCCCCTCACCGGCCAGCACATCGCGCACGCTGCATGAGCATCTCTTGGAGGTGTCCTAGCAACTCTCTAGGAAATCGGACAGGTTTTTTTACTCACGGGGTAGAAAAAGAAAGGACTAAAAAGAGTAATGTGCCAAAAATCACACAGTAAGTAGAAAAATGAACTTCTAAGTCAAATATAACTCTGAGATTTTTACCCTCCCCTTTATAAATAACCAAGACTTTCTTATATTTTACTTGAAAACATAAATATCCTCAGTGTTTCAGTTTTCAGCCTCGCAAAGCAAGTCATCCCCTTCCACATTTGCTGAGTGCATGGAGTATTTCTGGCCTTGTTTCTATGAGCCTCATGAGGCCTGGGGACTGTGTCATGTGAAGGCCTCACTCCTGTTGATACTCTTGTAAGGCAGGTGTTTTGACAAAGAGATTCTAGGATGCACTGATAACAGAAGCTGATGAGTGGTAACTCTGGTGGTGTGCCTGCCACGGGAACATTTTTAACACTGTTCCTTTCTTGAGTCTGATTGCAGTCTTTTCCCAGTTCTGCCCCATACCCATTCTAGTGTTCTTTGTGTCGAACTTCCCAGTGTAGGTGTCTGTCCCGGCTCGAGCTGTATGGACAACTTGAGCGCTTTTGTATCCCGCCTTCTATGCTTGTGCTGTGTCTGTTTGATTTCAGTTGGTCTTTGCAGGCACCAGTCCTATCCTGTGCAGTGAACACCATTGTCTGTGGTTAACAGATGTGAATACTGTGACATAACTTTTCAATGAAGTGCATACGCAGCACAAGAGTGTAATCCACATAGTCTTTTGTTTTTGTCTTTGATCTAAAGAACCAATTTAAAGCATTCACCAGATTTAAAGCATTTTAATTCAGTGAGTGTCATGACCTGTCACATTGTGTATCCTGCTAAACTGATGGAGAACAAGAAACCCACACTTATTTAGACTGTATTCTAAATCAGACCCAGAATTTAAGCCACTTATTACATGCTCATTTAACTCAAGTGACAGCACAGAGAGCTAATATGCCTCATCAAACTGAGGCCTGGGCACATAATAGCTGATCCCAAGTATGAGCCCTGAGTTGAGAAATTCAGGGTGTTTCCCTTTAAGCTGAGGTGAACCTGATTTGCTGTGCAATTTGTCCTCTTGGCTGGTCAGTCAGCATTCATTACATATATTGTATGCAAGGTGCTGGGCGTGATGACTGGAATACAAAGATTAAGGTAGAGAGTCTCTCCATGGAAAGCTCACTGCTGCCCATTTCACCAAGTGGTAAGCACAATGAAAGGTCTGAAGAAACATTCGGGGTCTCATCTGAATTACGGCTCTCTGAAAAAGAGAGGAAGAGAATAGCAGTAAATTGAAAGATAGCCTTTGTTCTTGAGTATGAAGAACCAATATGGTGAAAATGGCCATACTTCCAAAGTGACCACTGCTTTTGGGGGAGTGTAGACTGTGCAGCCATGTGGAAAACAACGTAGAGATTCCTCAAAAACCCAGGACTAGAGGTTCCATTTGAACTAGCTGTTACTCTTCTTAGTATCTTTCCAGAAGAATTAAAAACCTAGTACCACAGCAATATGCCCACACCATGTGTGTAGCAGCACTGTTTGTAATAGTTAGACCTTGGAAGTGGCCCAAAGGCCCATCAACTGATGAGTGGCTAAAGAAGCTTTTATATATGGTGGAGTACTACTCAAGGAAGGGTGAATTTGAGACATTCCTAGGTAAATGGATGATGCATGTGGCAACGTCTTCTTTTTTTTCCCCCGGTGGAACCAGGGATTGAACTCAGGCCCTTGTGCTTGCCAGGGAGGCACTTATTCTACTGAGCCATCTCCCCAGCCCTGGAACCATTCTCTTAAGTAAAATAAATTGGGCACACATCTAGATATTGCGTGGTTTCTCTGGTGTGAGAAATCAAAATAAGGACCAAAATGTACAGTAGTGTCAAATAGGAAGAATATGTACAAATGGGAAGAGAGAGAGGAAAGGGGGAGAAGAAGGAAGGGAGGAGGAAAAAATGTGAAAGAAAGGAAATAATGAAACAAAGCCTTTATAAATAAGGAGGGAAAAGCAGTTGAAGGAAAGGGAGGAAAGTGGGGGGGGGAGAATAAAGATGAGTCATTACAGGTACAAGTTCCCAGTGATGAATGTGATCATTATGTATATCTAACAAGTACCAATAAAAAATAAAAAGAATGATGTTCTTGTTTGGAGTTATAGCCCTGAGAAAGTGAAAGACAAGCAGTTATCCCAGATGACAGACAGGAGGGAAAGTTTATAAAACAGGAGTAGCAGGAAAAGAAGCGAAAGTTCTGTGGGAAGTGCCTAGGGCTGGAGTGCATGATGCTTAGAGGGTGGGGAAGCAGTGAAATGGGAGGAGGAGTGGTCGTGGGTTCCCACCTGGAGGAGCTGCGTCCTCATCCTGTGAGCAGTGATGGGGAGCTGCTGAAGCGTTACATGCAAGCAAATGACGTGCTTGGGCTAGAATTGAGAGAAATTAATTAGCTGACAGCATCGAGGCTGGATTGGCAGATGGTGAGCCTAAGGGCAGAGACCAGTTAAGAAGCTGGTACAGTATAAATTATAAGCTCTTTAAATGTCAGGAAGGATGCACTAAAGGAAACATCTTGCATGATATGCTTTCTTGTACACTAAGCGAAACCGTTACACTAAGCCGTTGGGTGCGGAAATGCTGTGATGCACTGTGTTAGCTTGCTGGGGCTGCTGTAACAAAACTCTAGAGCTTTGGTGGCTTAAATAGCAGAAGTCTGTTGTGTCTTGGTTCTAGAGTGGAAGTCCAGAGTCCCCACGTTGGCAAGCTGTGCTTCGTCTAAGTGCTTGCGCCATGTCCTGCAGGTGGACGTCTTCTCCATGTCCTCGCATGGTCTTCTGTGCCTGCATGTCTCTTGTCTTTGTGCATTCAGATTTTCTCCAACAGGGGCACAAGTCAGATTGGATTAGAACAAATCCACCCTAAAGGATTTACTTCAATTTAAATCACCTTGTTAGAGGTCAGATGTCCATGAACAGCCACAGTCTGAGGTTTTGGGGGTCATGGCTTTACCATATGAATTTTAGGGGAGGGTGCACACACCAGCCCACAATGTGATCTCTGCAAGCCCTGGTAGACATCCGAAGTAGGAACCTTGTGTAAGCCAGATCATCTCTAGTATTGTGCAGCAGGCATTAATGAAGAGCTCAGCATCTCTGCCTGCTTCAGTTAGCCAGTGTTGAACGTGTGCTCACCACTGTTCTGTGGGCTCTGCATGCAGTGTCTCTTCCTTGTCCGCAGCCCCTGGGGTATGGCTGCATGCAGCCTGCGTGTGTTGGTCCATTTCCTGTAGTTCACAGGTCATTCTGCTTGTGAATCTCACAAGGCTGAGCAGAAGTGCAGCCTCTCGGGCCTCAGGGCTCCCTTTTGCATCACTCTCCATTAACTTTCGCCCCTCCCTTTACCATTGGTTTTTGTTTGCTGGAATGAACCCCTATTTCTATGTCCTTTACACAGAATTCAAAAATTTAGTACAGTTTTAAAAATTAATAATGGTTATTGTATTGTTTATTGTTATCTTTAAAGTAGTTGTTCAGCTTCCAAGATATAGGTATGCAAAACAGATCACATATATAAGCACAAACGATTCCTTTTAATTAGGTAATAGAAATTAGTAGCATAATTGTCTTAGCTATCTTGTATATATACATATATATTTTCCCCATCCCAGTTGGTTTTTTTTTTCTTTTTAAGCAGTTATCCCTCAATCCAAACTAAAAAGTTTGCCTTATCAGGGCAGAGTATCTTCATCAACATAGACGTTTTTCTTGTTCTGCATATTAAGGTTGTAGGCTAAGATTAGTAAAATAAAGAAGTTTGTTTTCAAAGTCTCCGCGGGATGTGCTCATCACGTGGCGCTCCCTGCCGCCACACTGAAGGCACCGCGGTCCTGAGCAGTGAGGCAGGAGATGTCACTTTGCAGCCCCTGGTCCCACTTGCTGGCTAGAACCAGAAACAGCTCTAGTTTTTATCCTTTGGTTTCTATAAGATTAA